GACGTAGCTGGCACAGTTGTGAGGCTCATTTATCTGCCTTGAAGCAGGGGTTGCCAGCAGCTCCTGAGGGCTAGGGCTGCCATCTGACCCCTGCTTCATGCTATGGCCCATCAGTCCTAGAGCTCACCCCTAAGGCCAGCAGTGCTCCTTGGGTCACTGCCAGCAAGAGCCAGGCTAAGCTGCCAAATGTTGACTTACCCTACCTCATGCCAGGCAGGACTGTTCTTTAGTGTTCAGATGCTCAGTGCCACTGTAGCCAACCCTGATTCAGAGGAGCCAAAATAGCCTCCTCTCCCCGATGGGCATGTGCAAGGGCCAGAAACCCAAGTTCTTCATTTCCAGGACAGAGGAGACTGAGGTTAGAGCCCTGGAAAGTGTGCTGCTACTGCTGGCTCCCATAACAACCAGTGTGGCAAGCCAGCACCCACATACCAGTGCCTTTCCTCCCCCGCAGGCCTTGGGGGCCTGACACTGTCTTTTCGCCTGAGAAACTGATGCTCAGAGAGACAAAATGACTTGCCCAAGGTTCAGGTGGTGGAACTGGCTGGTATTTGCACCCATTTTCTGTCTGGCCCCAAGGACCATGACTGTCTGATCTTGCTTCCTTTACGTAAACTCCAACTGGCCTCCCCTCCCTGGGAGATCTTAAGCCAGACCCCGAGAGAAGGCTCCCTGTCCCACTCCCCTGCAGCCCAGAGCGCTCAGCCTCTCTTCACCTGCTGCGACCGTCTGCTTGCTACTCACTGCCATCTTTCCCACAGGCGGCCAGGAATTCTGGTGCTGATTAATGATGCCGACTGGGAGCTGCTGGTCAGTACCTTGGGGCTATCCCTACCCCAGCCCTGGCCCTCACTGCTTCACTGGGAAATCCTTGGGCCTCTCCTCAGGCCCATACGAGGTGGCTGGATGGTCCCCCGCCCCACCCAGCCCACATGACTCAAGTCTCTCATCCCCAGTGAGGAAGGGATGGGATCTGGGAAAGCAGGAGCTCTCTTCCATCCCAGAGATTTGCAAGGTGACGGATTGGGTACCTGTTTGTCTGGTGGAGTCTCTCTCTCCCAGAGCAATCCGCTTCGCTCCCTGACCCTCCTAGCACCTGGAGCAAACTGGGAAGGTAGCCCTGAGGGTGTCCTGCTCCTCTCTCTCCTGCACCAGGGTGAGCTGGACTACCAGCTTCAGGACCAGGACAGGATCCTCTTCATCTCCACGCTGCATGGTGGCTGAGGGCCCCTCTCTGGGCCTGGGCATTCGGAACAATCAGACATCTCCTTGGGCCCTGCTTCCACTTCCACTTCTCGTCTCCCGGCCCCCTTGGCTGCCTTCTTTCCTGCTGTATCCCCGAAGCTCCCTCCAGGCAGGGAAAAGAGGCCAGGTGCTAAAAATGAGCCTTTCTCCAGCACGTGAGAAGGCAGGAAGGCACCGAGCAGGCACTCCCTTTCCCAGCAGCGGAGCGGGGGAGGGCACCCTTCTGGTTGTCAGGAGTGGAAGGGGACTCTGCGGCCAGGTGACCCAACTGCCTTCCACCCCTTGTGGCTCGGTCTCAGCACCAAGTGACCGCTGACAAAGCACTCCAGCTCCTGGGCCACGGTGCCTTCATGGGGAAGATGAATGGACCTGAATGGCTGATGGGAGGCCCCTCCCTTCTCAAAGGTTGGAGGTGTCTCCGCCTCAGTTTCCCCATCTGGATAGCTAAGGGCTCTGCCTGTCCCCCACTGATATCCTTATGGAACCCCAGCTGGGGTCCCCTATTCAGTGCTGACCACCCCCCCCAGCAGCTGCTCTTCCAGTCACACCCCTCCTCCTGCTCCCCCCATCCCCAGCCCTTGACCCTGTCTGGCCTCCCCCACCACAAGCCACCAGATGGGCTCCTGAGACCCTCCCCAGGCTGCTACAGCTCATTCTGCTGGGAGTGGAGAGGGGGAGGGAGTAGGCTAAACCTTGGGCTGGCAGATAGAGGCCTGGGGGGATGAGCGTGCCTCAGTTTCCTCCTGCAAACAACTGCTGTAGTATCTGAAAACTGAAGAGATGCTGAATGGCACAAATGCAGGCTTCTCCCTTCCCACCCGCAGGAGGCAGGACAGGGGCAAGCAGTACCTGGTAGGCAGTGCCAGTCACTTTCATTAGATGTTTGCCCCTCCTCCCGCCATCTCTTCTGGAAGTCTTGGGGCCTTAGTGCCTGCAACAGCTGGCCTTGGACAAATAAAAGACTAGGTTGTTTACTGGCCTCACTTAGCGCTTCATCCTGAGAAACGGGTAGCACCCACATCCCCCCTGCCATGGTCCCTGTGCAACCTCTCTTTCCCCAGCTCAAAACTGCCCTTCACCCCCAAGGGGGTTGGGGGTTAGTCGAATAGGGCCATCTGGAGAAGGGGGTGGAGAGCCAGTCTGTGCTGACCAGTCTAGGTCCCAGGACGCGGCCCCACTCGTCCGTCCAAGGCCAGGCTTTGTCCCACCAGCTGCAGCCAGCAGACTCAGAACCCAGAATGGGGGTGGCATGGATAAGACTGCTGAGCCTCCCTCTCCACTCTCAGCAGAAAGAGCTTTTCTCCAGGTCAGGTTCCCCAAGACCTGGAGAAAAGAGCTTCGTTTGCAGGAGGGAGACCTCAAAAAAGAATTAGGGCGCTAACAGCATCCCGCCCAAAATGACGCTTTTTGTAAGATGTCAGTAATTTAAGGTGGAATTTAAGTGAAGACAAAAATGCCAGAGGGTTGTCCCGGCAGTGTTGGGGGTAGGGGGCAGGTGCACATCTTCCTCTAAGGACAGACGACCCTGGCTGGTGGGCTTCTCTCCAGCACTGCTGCAGGTGGAGGCCCTCTGGGCTTGTGTGTGGGTGGGAGCAGCCATGTTGGGGTAATGGGTAGGAGCTGGTCTGGGTGCAAATTAAGGCCAATGCTGGGGTCCGAGTGCAGAAAGATATGATCCTTACTAGGTGCCGAGGTCAGAGTCTTCATGTTGGGGAACAGAGCAAGGGACTTGAAACGGCCCCCTGCAGCCTCACTTTTAGAGACTCAGTCTCTCCTAACCTGAAGGTCCCTTCCCTGCCACCAGTCCCCTGAGCGGCAGGAGAGGCCCGTCGTCCCAGCCGGGCTTCCAGGTCCTGGGAATGGCACTAGGACTAGAAATGCTTTCCCAGCCTGTGTGGGGTGGAGGGGGTGAGAGATGTGGGACATCCCCCTCCCGCCACACCCCAGTCAGTGCTGAGGAGTCGGGCTGGGAGTTGGGCTGGAAGTCGTGCTGGGAAAGCCGGGTTCTCCGCACGCCGGTGAAACTGGCCAGGGCCACGACCACTTCGGGTCCTTTTTAGCCCCGAGTCGGAAAAGGGTCAGAGACGAATGACCCGGGCTCAGCCCCAGCAACTCCTGACCCCTGCATTCGAGGAAATAAACGAGTAAAACCCCACTATCTCCGAAGATTTTTCTTTAATGAAAAATATTCGTTTGTCCGAGTTCTGTTTCCAAAGCCGAGGCGCTCGCCGGGCTGGAGCGCATCGTTCCGACGCTTTCCCGACTCTGGCCGCGGCTGGGGGAGGCTCAGCCCACCCGTCCG